TTAAAGCTGACGTGACATATTTAGTTGAATTACACCCATGAAATGGGCTTCTATATATATAAGAGTGCACGATTAAAATTTATAATAACTGGCAGGAGTTTTGATGATTATAATTAGCCCTTTAGTCGACTTCGGGTTTCACAGATGGGAGGAACATCAAAGTAACAAAAAGTCGATGGGCAGATGAATGAAAGAGTGATTCACAGATGTAAAAGAAACGAACACAATGGTGGAAAAAGGTAAGGTGAGTATTGTGGAAGTGATCGAATAGGACATAAAGTGGAGTCATGATGGTTTGAAGCTAACTGACGATTTATCGACTTTTTGCCGTATTAGTATACATTGCCCAAGGTGCGCCACGTGGCAATAAGTCTATCGCCCACCCAGGAATCCTAAATTATAACCCAATGCATTTGAAGACTAAGATAGAGAGGGTCCTTAAGGATTACCATAAAATTTAATTCCTAGAATGGGTTTTCAGTTGAATCTTTAGAAATGTAGTAACCACCTTCATTAATGGTAGAGCGTGGGACTGAAGAAAATATTCAGCGCCCACTGAATATATCTAGCAAAATCTAAATCATTTAAGACATTAATGGAACATAGTCTTTTATCTGTAGACAAGGGGTTCAAAAATCACTTTAGGCCAAAATTTGGGAAAACCAGTGATTGGGTTCGATGGAAATTATAAGACAGCAAATGTTGCGTCCCTGCATGACAATCAGTGGCATCGTCTGGATCTATTCATCTCTAAAACTGTAAGTCCCAACATATTCATCATCTTAAATTATCTCTTTGAATGATCCTTGCCTCCGTTTAAATTTCAGCCAATCGGTGTAGAAATAGTTATTGTCGTTGACCACTGTGTTAAAACTTCTTGGTGCAGTCAGCGTCTAAGTTTCAATGGATTACGTACATCTTCGTTGGTTGAAGGGCCCTTGGTATTAAATATACCATCTAGTGACGGAAATCGTCTACAAGAACTCTGCTTGGAAAATATTGTCATCAATTCTCAGGTATTCCATTAAAATTTTGCTTCATTAGCTTATTTATATTCAGTATTGGAACATGCATTCTCAGTTGAGAAGTTAAGGCCTATGAGTCGCCTAAAAATTAAATTTCCACCTTCACATCTTCTCATCTTCCCATTTCAAGCGTAACAGGAAGTAAATAGAAGCTATGGCGTGATAAATTGGCTTTGTTAGAATAAAGGAAAGGTAAATGTACGTTTGATACTTCGTAGAGAGGAGATTTGAAATCGGTGTGCAAATGCCAATGGTGTACACCAGGATGAAAATGTTGATATATACACAATGAATATAATACATGTGCCATAATGAAAGTGAAAAATTCTTGAGAAGAAATTAAAGCATTCTTGTTATACCTCGTTTAGTTCCAATCTTCTCCTATTATCATACTAATAGATAGAAATCCAAATATCATCTCACTTAAAAATTTTGATTTTTTTCGAAAATCAAAGGGAAAAGTTATTTGACTTTTCTAAATATCAGAGGACAGATTCACTTGAAGTGAACTTTGAAACTTAGTGATGTTTTTCTACGCAAAAAGTTGAAACGAAAAGAAAAATGTAAAATTTAAATATTTACATTTTTTCACTTATTTCATATATATATATATATATATATATATTCAATAGGGTTGTTGCATTGTTTGGGAAATATTCAAAGGAAAAAAATACTCTTCGGTATGTAGCGGATTGATACGCAAGTCTCGAACATGTAGCGGATTGCTACCTTCGTAAAGCCTTGGTTAAAGACTTGTAGCGGATTGCTACCTTAGTAAAGCCAGACCGGTTGAGAATTGTAACGGATTGCTACCTTAGTAAAGCCTGACCGGATTGCATTGTAGCGGATTGCTACGCTAGTAAAGCCTGACCGAAGAAATCTCTATGGCAGATTCTCCAACATCTAGTTAGACTCTAGTCTCTATGGCAGATTCTCCAACATCTAGCTAGACTCCCGAGAAATCTCTGGCAGATTCTCCTACATCTAGCTAGACTCCCGAACTAGCTAAGCTATAGCCCAGCTATAAAGAAAACAGACGTATAATTCAGCTAAGCTATAGCCCAGCTATAAAGGAAACAGACGTGTTGCGCTATAGCCCAGCTATGAAAGGAAACAGACGTGTAGCACGAAGCACGTTTATTCAGTGAGTATATTGTGGATAAAGTGTGTACACGCAGGGATCTACTCATGATCAGGATGAGGGATTAGGTTAAACAGAGGTTAATGATTGGTCATTGTATGTACGGCCGCACCTCCCAATCCTGGCGAGCAGACATGCAGGCATACGATGACGCACACAGCGATAACGTGTCCCACAGGCATGTGTATGCCCTTATTTCTTGCAATAAAATTAGAAAATAATCAAGCCTTGAAAACTTGACGATCTAATCCATGAAATTTGAAAGAATTTCAGTGTTAGAATTTAAGCCCCAATTTGACGTTTTCTTTGTTCGCGGGTTGATCTTGGTGATGGAAAGACATTTCCACTGAGAAAAACCACTTATCCATTGGTGTGAACCGATTTCTTCCCTAATCTTTTCCGCCTTTTAATGAATTTTTATTTTAACTTAACTCAGTTGCTACCTTGGAGAATAAAGATTTTTCCATAACAGTTTAGATGTCCACCCATTTTTGACTCATGTCATGAGCTTGCTCTTCATGAGGTCAAAGGTCATAGGATGATATTATGCTACTGAGTGGGCTGCGAAATAAACTTCCTCCCTACGCTGTTTGTCTAATCGGTTGCATTGAAATAATGTGGTCAAAGTTATACAAACACATTCTGGTGTCTACTGATGGGGTGAGGGAGAGGGTATGGAGAACCGTTGTACATGGATTCATGATTATTAGGCTGTTGGCTAAATCTTTCCGAGATCTGCCCCTGGATCTCTTCCATTATTCATTCAACCACAATTAAGAATATGTACTTCCTCAGATCTTTTCCTACGTCAATCTCATTTGAGAACCGGAAGAGTTTAATAGATGTCTAAAACACCGACACCGACTCTTTTCTGCTTCCTATAGCCAGTTATATAAAGATCAGTAGTCTTTAGATTGTCATTTCGATGGTTGAAATAAGTGCTCATCAATCAAAGCAACTCTTGTTTACTTGAAGTTGATTGATCTCTGGGAGGCAACCCAAAATCGGCCATTGGCTCGTGGCTGTCCAAAATGCGAAGAGGCCTGCTACTTTACAGATGCCATAAATGCCACTAACAAGTGTGGTGATGAGGGTGTCTGTCGAAATCCGATT